GACAACGAGTAACTTTTACCTGGTCATACAGAGACCTTCTAACCTGGACAGCCTGTTTTGGAAATAGCCCTTAGTAGTTGCACAGGGAAACGACAGAAAACCTAAACAGTTTGTTTAAAATGTAACGAACATTTGTGAATCCACCACTCAGCCGAAGAACTAAGATATTGCTAATAAATGACATCTCTCTGTTGTTCCTCCCCTCGCCCATCCTCCTGATTCCCTGCCAGCGGCAGCCACTCTCCTGAAAGTTGTCCTAATCAATTTTCTTGCTTTTTTTAGTTCTCTCTCTCCCTCCCCACCCATCTTTCTGCCTCCCTCTCCCTCTCCAAATCTACAAAATACCATCTTGTGCTCATAATTTGCTTTTGCCTGAGGTTGAGCAACTCTTTATATAATTATTGGCATTATATGCTTTCTTTTCTGTGAAATGACTATGCATACTTTTCACGTCTTGTGCCCATTTTTCTGTTGGGTGTTTTCTTGCTGATTTGTAGGCATTTTTATGTGTTCTGGTGCTAATCCTCCTTCAGTTACATGTGTTACAAATATCTTCTCCCAGTTTGTAACTTGTCTTCACTCTCTTTAGAGGGTGTTCTGAGGAACAAAAATTTTTATATTAATGTAGCCAAACTTATTGATCTTTTTTTTATTCTTAACATTTTTTGTATCTTCATAAATTCTTTCCTACTTCAAGCTCAGAAAGATATTCAATTATATTTTCAAGTTTTCAAAGTTTGCTTTTGACATTTAAGTTCATCCATCTGGAGTTGATTTTTCGGCATGGTGTAAGAATCCAATTTCATTTTTTTCCTATGGATAAACAATTTTTCCAACTTTTCCTTTTCCACACTGTCTGTCATGCTGTCTCTGTTGAAAATCAAAGTTTCACAGATGCATAAGTCTATATTTCTAGGTTCTTCTATACCGTTGGTCATTTTGTTTATCTCTGCACTATTACTACACTGTCTTTAATTACTTGAGCTTATAATAAGTTTTTTTAGCTAGCAAGGCAAGTCCTCCTTCCTTATTCTTCAGAAATGGGCTATTGTTGGCCCATTTGTTCTTCCATTTAAATTTTGGAATCAACTTTTCAAATACCACAGGATAATTGAGGTATAATTTATATATAGTAAAATTACCCTCTTTGTTGTACAGTTCTGTGTTTCAACAAACGCACACAGTCATGTAACCACCACTCCAATCAGGATATAGGACAGTTCCTTCACCCCCCAAATTCCCTCATCCCCTTTGTAGTTGACCTCCTCCCCTGGTCCCTGGCTACCACTGCTCTGTTTTCTGTTGAGATTTGTTTTTAATTTCATTTAAAATTTTTTCAATGTTTTGTTAAAATGTTGGCTTTTTTTTTTTTTACTGGAGTTGCATTAAATCTATAGATCAATTTAGGAAGGAATCTACATCTTTTGTTAACTCTTCTTGTCCATAAACATAATGTATCTAAACTTAGTTGGAGAGACTTTGCTTGACAGTAATGGAAAGTTCTAAATTTTTAGGAAAAAATCTAAGAATTTTAAATACTTTTTTTAAAACTCTTAGTAAAGGAAGTATTTTATAATTGTCGATCTAAACAGACACATAAATACACGTGAATATATGGCAGATGTGTGGCAGTATTTCATTTTTTAAAGAACCACGTCTTGGTTCCAGACCAGCTTTGTTGCTTACCTGCGAGACTGAGCAAGCTGCTGGGCTTCCCTGATGCTCAGTCTCTTGACCTGGGTGCCGACTGGAACATCCCTTCCCCCTGGGGTTCTTGTGAAGAGTAAGTGCCACAACGTGTGCGGAGTGTCAAGAGACAGCGGCCCCGGCACAATGAAGCCGGGAGTGAACGAGACTGTTCCGTGAGAGGAACTGCTCTCACTCACCTCCAAGGAAACAGGGAGGGCTCTCTGTGTATTTGGTTCCCCCAGTGGCTTTAACAAAGTGGCACGACCGAAAGCTGGCCTTGAATCATTTCCCTGACAAATTTGGAGAAGGTTAGCGTTACCAAGCAGCCTGCTGCATGCTGCTTCTGACAGGGGAGCTGGAATCGCTGGAGGACACAGCTGACAGCCAATTCATTTTGCTGATTCATCCATTAGAGGGGTGGCTGTGAGCCAGAGCTTGGCTTCTAGATTAAAGGCCAAGAGCTGCAAAGCTGCTGGGACTCGAAGGCATGCTGGTAAATTATTGCCATGTGAAGGCCAACAGTGAAAAGTGGGTTGTTATTTTCCCCTTTTAAGTGATCCTAATTCCAAACGTGCTCAGATGAATTCCCCGACCATAGTTAGGGAGTTGTTTGTAACATTTGTCCATGGGCTGAGAGCTAAATTATCAGAAACAATCAGATACTGTTAAATAGATCATCTTGGCTCCTTTATGACCCTATTATCGCCTTTGCTTTCATGGGGACTGTTGACTTAAGCCTCCTCTCACTTGGCAGTCCAAATTAAATTCGGGAGAGGGAGTGTTGCAGGTGTCATCCCTTTTGGGCACATTTGCAAAATAAATCTGCTGAATTAAGGAATGAAACTTAAAGAGGAATTTCCAGGAGATGCTCATTTGCCAACCATCAGTACAGAATAATGGTGGTAGAAGGTGTGGGTTCTCGTTCTGTATCGCATTGGTAGATTAACCTGTTTTAGTAGGTGGTCTCAAGCTTATAGGGACATCAGCTCTGTACATAAAGCTCATCATACATAAAGCTTGCATGTGACAGGGTGAGCATAAGAGGGTGGAAATTGTGTATTGTTTTACCAAATACCTAGCATAGTCTCTGGGACAGACACTCAGTGAGCAATTACTGGATGGTAGCACGGATGGATGATATTTGTTGAATGTATAAATTGTTGAGTGGTTAGATAAATGAGGGGAAAAAGTCAGGAATGTGGCCCATTGAAAGCAGAAAAAGGAACTATCTTGAGGGTAAGGTTTTAAAGAAAGGATCCTATTTCTGTGGTTCTCTGACATGAGTGACTTTGGTCAACAGCACATCTCCAGCACTGGGTGTTTGCTCGGTTTATGTCCCTGTGAGTGAGTCAGAACATGCTGTTTTGAGTTTACATTTCAGTAACTTACTCTACTTCTTTGGGAGACTTTGTATAATATGCAAGTTCTTTAAGACTCTGAGGATTTTTTCCCTCTAACTCTAGAGTGAATATTTGAAAAATATAGCAAACTTCGTAGTAAAAATTTGTGTTTCTTCAAGAAGTAGGGTTTTTTTTCTTGTTTTCCTTTTTGTTGTTGTTTTGTTTTGCTCTTTTTTTTTTTTTTT